TGCACATAACTTGTCATTTTTAATGATGTCTTCGAATTTTCCACATAGTGCATGATCTGACTAAACCATCACCACCATTAGGTTCCTTGTGAAAAAATACACAATTTTCATTTTTGTTTCACTCAATTTCATTAAGTTTTAAGCAAGTTATTATTGCTTTTGCAAATCTGCCTAGACTATGTTCAAGTTGCCCAAGTTTTTGCCTTGCCTTGCCTATTTTGACACCCAATTTTCCAAAGTGCATAAATTCTTTGATTTTTATTATTTTGATGCCATTCGTTTTGAAAACTTCTCCTTGATATGTCTAGTTTCAATGTGTGAATAAAGAACTCAAGAATTGTCATTTTTTGAAACACTTTAGCCCACTTGAAAGACATGACATTTTTAGGGGTTTTACTTGTTTTCATGAGTTTCTTTGACTTAGTACTTGATTTTTCTTGTATGATTGATCTTGTATAAATCAATTTTGGATGTTTAACATGTTTATATGTTTGAAAATATTAGTTACTTTTCTTTACCATGCTTATTCTTGCCTTTGTAAAGGTATGAATATGAAAACCATGCCTTGAAACTTTTTATTGATTTGTGACATGCTTCTTGATGTTGTAGCCTCTTTAAAATGATCCCTTAACCTCATATTACTTGTTTATGTATCTTGTTAGGACCATGACATGTTTATGGTTTGACTCTTGTATTTGTAAAATGCATGAATGTGAATGTATGACTTGGAGCTTCTCTGTAAATCCTTGTATGTTTCTTGATGTTGTAACCTCATGAACATGATTCTCAAAACCCCCTATCTTACCTTACTTGTTTATGTGTCTTGTTAGAACCATAACATGTTTAGGATTGATTCTTGCTTTGAAAGATACTATGAGTCTTGTTTACCTTCCCTTATGTGAAGTTTAAACCCCTGCTTGAACTGTTGTCACTCTTCTTGTTTATCCATGTTTGATTGTCATCAATATGCCTTGAAAATGATTAAATGTTGCTACATTTATCTTTGTTTGGATTCATACACCATGTTTAACTCAAGTTGTAACTTGTATAATTGAGTTTTGTTTATTTACCGTTGATGAACTTGTTGTTGTTATACATGTTTCATGCTTGCTCTTGTTGGTTTGTTAACTTCATGATCTTTGAACTTTGTTAAGTGCAAAACCTTAGTTGTTACCATGCTTGTTGTATTTCAATTTGACCATATCTTATTTCTACTTATCTTTGTCAAGATTGATTCATAAGAGATGGAACTTGTTGTTGCACCCCAAAATTTGCCCTCACAGTACAAGACTTTGTGTTCCAAGAAGGTTCACAAGGTTCACACTGACCACTACATTATGCTAACCAGTGTGTGCAGGTGCAATGATGTCAAGGCATAAATTCTTACTAACAAGGAATCACAAGGGTGTGAGTGTTACTTTTAAAGTTTACCATTCAAGATTTTAAGTGGTGAATACCTCCGGCTAATGGGTATCTGGAAATTAAGTACGGATATATCTTCGTATATGATTTCAAAGGATGACAACTGAGGATGTTACTACACTGATTTAATTTTGTTTCGAGTTAATTTCCTCTTTTTCAAATATATATTCTATTAAGGAGTTTGCGGAGTAGGACTCTGAAGGTCCTCATGGCGACAATCGAGACATTTGGTTCATTTACGACTAATTTTCAAGAAAAGATTGAAGGAGCAATTAACGGTAATATTGTCATCTCGAGGGTCTCTTCTTATTTGGCTACAACCACATACCAATTCTCCTGACATAAGGCATTACAAACCAACAAGAAATATAAGTCATGATTTAAGCTACAGATTAAAATGGGGTTTGTAAGGAAATCGGGACTATACAGAAGAAATCTCAAAAGTTGCGAGAGAAACTCTCCCTCTTTTTCATGATAAAGTCATATTCAAAATTTAATCCATCTGGCATTTCAAGATTTAAGATCCAAGGTTTACAAGTTTGAAATTCATATTTACTAAACTCTTTACAAAGCCAAGGATATTCAAAAGTTACACGAAAACCATGACCATTGCAACATCAGAGAATTACAAAGTTAACAACTACCACAAATCCATAAGTCCTAATTCTAAGCAATCCAATGTCTCTTCGTGTCACTCCTATTTTGCACTTTGAGCATGTCACGCCAATCTTGAAAGCCCTCGTGTTCTAACTCGCTTCATGTGCACACCTGTGACAAACAATAACGCATCAGTTTGAACACAAAGCAGAGGTAGCAAATTCAAAATAACCGTCGAAACCGCAATTAAACAACAGCAATGGCAAGATGTATAAGGAACTCGCTTCAACGAGTCATTGCTATATCATACCTTGTCCTGCATCTCCAGCCTGCTATGGATATGTCTCAGTTGGGATGAAACTCGCGCTCCGATTACTGGTATTGCTCTATCATCGGCATACAGGATACTAACTCCGGATATGATCGATCAAACGCTGTCTAAATTGTTGATACTATGGACTTGGCTTGAATGGAACTGACAAGTCTTGTCCAGCCAACGAACACCCTGCCAAAAGTACACAAGATAGCATAGAAGTTATCAAAAGTGAAGCACATAAGATCAGTTAGTTTTAACACAGCAGATTCAGTTACTCTAATCCTGAAGCAGAAGTTTGAGCGTGTCCTTCAGCAGATAGATCAGGACCTTACGAATCAAGTTTGGATGGGAAAGAGGTTTACCC